AGGGTATGTTCCTATTATCCACTGATTGTTCTCTGAAAAGGTATCTTAAACCCAATGGCACAACATGTAAGGTTCATTACCCATGAACTCTCCCCAACCCTGAGAAAGATCAGAATGCACAACCCAATACTAATATTTTTACAAAAGCATTGGATGCTTCTTTAGATTCAGCTCCTGGGTGCGCCTCACATTTCACTGAAAACATGTTTTGTGTATTTCTAAAATAAAAAGTAATCAGGTAATACAACAAACAATCAATACCAAAAATGATGGGAATGATGGGATACTATACCTAAAATGCACTATATTGCCAAAAGTATTGGGACACCCCTCAAAATCATCGGATTCAGGTGTTCCAATTACTTCCATGGCCACAGGTGTATAACATCAAGCCACCAAAGATCCATTATCTCCTGCGCTCAAGGACTCAGATCAAACAGGCGTTAGTGACAAGCAGTGTGTTGTGTATTCATCCGCTGGTGATCAGAGGTTGTGCAGCTCTATCATGAAGCTGGGGAAGCTTAATAAAACTGTAGAGGAAGATGAAAGAAAGAGCACACAAACCTTGCGCATTACCTCAATAAATAATGACTAATTTTATTAATAAGGAAATATACTCACAAAATGATTGTATAACAGGCATAAGTAACCATAATCCAAACAGGGTTACAGGTAAATCAAAAGGGGGGGGGGGGATGAAGGCTAACGCATTTCGAAGGGTGCTCCCTTCTTCATCAGAGCTGGGTTTGGCAGATAGAAATTTCAGTATGGCAGATCTCCCATGGCAAGGAGATATTCAGCCACTGAGTGTCAGTATTACAGCAGTTCAGCCTGTTTAGTGAGCCTTCACCCCCCCCCCCCCCCTTTTTGATTTACCTGTAACCCTGTTTGGATTATGGTTACTTATGCCTGTTATACAATCATTTTGTGAGTATATTTCCTTATTAATAAAATTAGTCATTATTTATTGAGGTAATGCACAAGGTTTGTGCGCTCTTTCTTTCATCTTCCTCTACAGTATATCATCAAGCACCTAGGCATGCAGACTGCTTCTATAAACATTTGTGAAAGAATGGCTCACTCTCAGGAGCTCAGTGAATTCAAGCGTGGTTCAACAACAGCAACTCAGCCATGAAGTGGTAGACCAGAGCAGAGCAGAGAAAGAGTAGGATCAGCACATGCAGAAGCTCACAGAGTGCAGAAGTCACCAACTGTCTGCAGAGTCAATCATTGAAGACCTCCAAACTTCATGTGACCTTCATATTAGCACAACAGTGCGTAGAGAGCTTCATGAAATGGCTTTCTATGGCCGAGCAGCTGCATCCAAGCCTTACATCAAAAAGTGCAATGCAAAGTGTTGGATGCAGTGGCGTAAAGCAAGTCACCACTGGACTATAGAGCAGTGGAGATGTGTTCTCTGGAGTGACAAATCATGCTTCTCTGTCTGGAAATCCGATTGATGTGTCTGGGTTTGGCAATTGCCAGGAGAACGGTACTTGCCTGACTGCATTGTGCCAAGTGTAAAGTTTGGTTGAGGGGGATACTATGGTTTGGGGTTGTTTTTTTTTTTTAGGGGTTAGGCTTGGACTCTTAGTTCCAGTGAAGGGAAGTCTTAAGGCATCTGCATACCAAGACATTTTGGACAATTTCATGTTCCCAACTTTGTGGGAACAGTTTGGGGATGGCCCTTCCTGTTCCAACATGACTGCACACCAGTGAAGAAAGCAAGGTCCATAAAGACATGGGTGAGTGCGTTTGGGGTGGAGGAACTTGACTGTCCTGCACCTCAACCCGATAGAACACCTTTTGGATGAATTAGAGTGGGGGCTGCGAGCCAGGCCTTTTTGTCCGACATCAGTGCCTGACCTCACAAATGCGCTTCTGGAAGAATGGTCAAACATTCCCATAGACACACTCCTAAACCTTGTGGACAGCCTATCCAGAAGAGTTGAAACAGTTATAGCTGTAAAGGGTGGGTCAACTCAATATTGAACCCTATGGACTAAGACTGGGATTCCATTAAAGTTCAAGTGCGTGTAAAGGCAGGTGTCCCAAAACTTTTGGCAATATAGTGTATATCTGCACCTTCAGTGCAGTTGGAATTATAAAGTAGTCCCCTTTCCTAGCACCCCTCATAGTCTTAAATTCACAAATGCACTCTGTAATCCAAGTAATTCCTATAGAGCCATTCATTCCAATTGAACTTCTGAGTACAAACTCGTACTCAGAAGCTACATAGGAATAAATAGAGAGTGAAGACTGCATGTGCAGACCCGGCCAGGAACATATTGACAAGCAGCTGTGCAATGCAATCGCTATTTCTCACTAAAACATAGGGAAATGTGCATGTATTTAAGATATTTTGATGAGTGTTGGTATTGTTGAATAAGAAATATAATAAAGTGTTACTAAACCCACAACAGTAAAATCAGTCTGTATATGCAGCAAAGCATGCTTGTTATACTCGCTTTGGAACCTAAGTGCTTAATCCTCTGCATTGTTAAAAAGGCTGTTTAATCCTGTCTTCTCTGATCCTCCCCTTCTTGTATTGTCCCCAAATCATCTGCTGATAGAACAGAGCTCTAGGGGTCACCCTGCACATGCTCAATTTAGTGTGTATGGCTAGACAGGTTTTTTTTTTCTATGGGAGGGTGGGTCCATGTGATCAGCTCAGGGCCAACCAGAACTGTCCACACAGAGGGTCAGAGGTCTTGCAGCCTCATAGGGCAGTCAGACCAGAATGAAAACTCCTCCTACAAGCTTTAACCAGTGCTCAACTGGACACTGATAGTCACAAGACTGCTATATACTGCTGATGAGAAAAGGTATTTATCAGTTTATATTTACTAAAATGATTGCATTTCCATGTTGTGTGTACTGTGGGAGACTGGATATAGAGAATGCAGGGTCCTGGGTTTATTAACACTTTAATGAAAATAGGTCAATCTAAACCAGCCTTTCTCATCCTTTTTACCCCAGAGGAATCCTTAAAATAATGTTCAGGTCTTGAGGAATCCCTACTAAAAAAAAATTAATTGGACATCAGTGGGACAAATGCCCTTTACACTGATGGCCAGTAGGAAAAATGCCCCTCTTACAGACAGCTAAAAAAGATAATTGGTGTCATGCAGTTGGCTCTACCACCTGGCTTTGGCCTCAGAACTATGCAGGCACCATCAGATTATTTCTGCACATTCACCAGCTATCTACTAACATTTGCTGTTTTAAAAGTACATCCTTGGATTTAACATTTTGCATTTGACAGTTCTATGTGAAAAAAAAATCAAAATCTTGGATTTTTACATATTTTATACTTCTTTGGATGTTTCAGAAAACTAGATAGTGAGTTAAAGCCAACCTATAGGAATTTTTAGTTATGCACTTTTGAGGAGTATTTATTTACCACAGGTATTTACAACATATATAGTGCACATAATTTACCCAGAAATTTACATATATTGCAAGTTCACACAGAATGTTTTGTTTCTTTTAAATGTATGTTGTTAATAAAAGCTTTAAAATGGAGTTCCAGTCAGTTTTGTGTTTATTAAAAGTCTTTTAATAAACACACCTGTCCCAGGGTCCAGCAATGTGCTCACCTGTGTTGCCCTTCTCTCCCTCCTCTCCATAGTGCTGGTATCTCAACTGTGGGCACCAGGCTGTGACAGCTTGTGGATTCACAGCTGGGTGCCCTCTGCGCATGCGTGAGTAGCATTGTGCATCCTGATTGGTCCAGCAGTCTTCTGAGACTGTTCGAAGGAGGGGGCCGAACTTCCGGCTCACTTCGCTGAGGTGAACTGAGCAGGAAGTGGGTGCAGGTACCTGTCAAAACTAGGTATCCGCTCCCCTCCAAAAAGTGCCAAATATGGCAGTGGAAGGGGGAGGAGACAAACAAGCAGAGCTTCCACTTTTGGGTGGATTTCCACTATAATAACACACCACATACATTCTGCAGGTACCTTATCACAGATTTACTGGTACTTAATGAAAGTTTTAGTTTTTTGTTAAATTTGCGTACGAGAATCCTGTAAACTATAACATCTTCCTTTATTTTGTTGCTTTCTTTCTTCTATATATTGACAACATAAAAAACACATTTATTTTAATAGTTTAAATTTGAATGAGAAAATGGCTGAAGTGTTATAGTGAATATTTACCTTAAAACAAAATCTGAAAATTAGAGAAAAAATTCAAATCCCTAAGCCTATGCTTGGCTCTGTGGAACATACAGTGGCAAGGTACACATACTCTAAAATTAACATTATAATAAACTATTTTGTTTCCCATATATTGGTACATTCTATCACTGCAACATTTTTACAATACAATATTTAAAAATCTTCAAGCTTTTTGCATGCATTCAGTGCTCCTTCAGAGACTGATTACCAATAGCATTGTTCGAGCCCAGACATCAGACAATTAGGTATCCTCAAGCTTTCCTATTGAACGTTAATATATAAACTTTAAGTTTATACATATTAGTTCATTTTAATGCCAGCCTAAAATCCAAATGTTTTTGCGAATAAATGACTAGACTAAAATGATGTTAAATTTGCGTACGAGAATCCAGAAGTCAGCGATTGCAACATAACTGCATGTCTTAACATAGGTACTTATCAAATGGCTGTTTTTCCTATGATCATTTGTGACCTTCAGTCAAGTAGACATCTAAGGTGATAAAAGTTGTGCACCCATGCTCCTGAAAGTACAGGTCACAAACAGATTTTGCTTGCATTGTATAACTACATGGATACACCAACAAACCAAATAAATCTTCCTTGCTTCTTATGGATCCTGCTGGGAACACATAACCTACGAGGGTAATTTAAGTCAAACCGGGACTTTTCATTTTACAGGTATAAAAAGGGATGCTAGTGTGGTGGTATTACATACAGTAGTAAGTGGCAATTGTGTTCTATTACTGATAGGCGGCACACATGTTGTGAGCAAGTCCAGAGATTGTTAATCAAGATGCCAGTCAACAGTGTTAGTGTGTGCATGGACAGCATATGGTGATGATGTTTCTTGTAAAAGAAGGTGTAAAATCTACAGATATCTACAGACGACTTCAAGCACAGTACGGGTGATGAGATGCTCAGCCGCATTAAGACATTTGAATGGTGGAAACATTTCAAAGATGGTCGTACATCTGTCAGTGACAATCGTGGCCGTGGTGGTTCCCAGCTCACAGCAGTCATTCCTGTGAACATTCAGCATGGGGAATGCCTGATCCTGGATAATCGATGCATAACCTGTTGTGAAATTGCATGCAAGACAAATCTTTCTGTGGGAACAGTGAACACAATCATGACAGGGTGAAGCAGGCTGTCCTAGGATGGTTCAGGCTTACTGACAAATCTTTCTAGGACAAAGCTTTCCAGGCATTAGTTAAATGCTTGGATAATTGTATAAATGTAGCAGGGGAGTATGCTGAAAAAAAATGCAGTTTCCACACCTCAAAATTTGTTCTATTATATAAACTGAAAAGTCCCAGCTTGACTTGAACACCCTTCATAGATAAATGTAGCAGGATGCAGCATGATGACGTTATCAAGCCACGCTTGCAATGAAACCAGACACATTCAGGATGGTTACTCAAAAATTCTAACTGCTTAATTCAAAATCTCATCATGAAATCTGTTATGGGAACACACTAATGGTAACTTTGCCCAGGGCCTATGATACTTTAAAACTAACTGCAGGTAATCTGTATTAACTTATGGCCACCAGAAGGACGATTGAGCCACTGATTAGATGGTGTGAATTGCATTACTATAACCACTTTAGTTCTCATATCCATTGAAACCACTACTCATAAAACAACAGTTGCTGATATCAGGCCGGACTGTGGACAGTGGGAGTAGACAATCCCTTGCCATCAATGAGAGTAAAGAATGCCCCATCGTTGGTGTCAGTAGGAGGATTAGTGCCTATGGTTGCCACCTCATCCCTTTAAAACGGAACACAATTACACAGGTTCTGAGGCCAATTTAATTCAGATAAGGCACTAGATGAGTTTAGCTGCCACCTTAATCAGCCACAGAACCTGTGTAATTAATACGTGTTTGGTTTTAAAGGAATGAGGTGGCAACCCTAATAGTGCCCCATCATTGATATCAGTGGGAGGAATAGTACCCCATCATTGGTGTCAGTGGTAAGATTAGTGCCCCATTGTTGGGGTCAGTGGTAGGAATAGCGCCCAATTGTTGATATCAGTGACAGGAATCATGCCCTATTGTTGGTGTAGAAGGAATAGTTCCTTGTATCAGTAGGAGAAATAGTGTCCCAAGGGCCCGATAAAAGCAATAAAAGGGCGACATCCGGCCCCCAGACTGCAGTTTGGAGACCACTGATCTACACTATAAGGGACCTGATTATACTGAACCGCTAATATCAGAAAACTGATATTTATAGTACATATAGTATGTTTTGACAAATAGCCTACAAAAGAACTTAAAAGTAATTCTTGAATCCACATTTGTTATTGGTTACTAAAAAACAGTTTACCAATATCGTATTCCAGATCACAACCACTTAATTGAACAATAAAAACATAAAGTAACATATTGCTGTTAAAATGTACGTGCAGTTCCATATGAGATTTAGATATTATATCCAAGCAACCACAAATCAAAAAAAAGAAAATGTATTTAAACTTTCAAATTCAAAGTAGTGCATTTAAAGAGAAGCTAGTTTTTTAAAGTTTTTTTAAGCTGTACTCGAATGTGATCAGCTACTGTACATGCTAGAGTATTAAAATCCACTTATGTGTGTATAGTCTAGAAATATACACTGTGTGTAACTATAGACATAGTTTGGACCCGGGGTGGACTGACCATTTGGAAACTCGGGCACTGCCTGAGGGCCCGGGGTCAGTAGGGGGCCCCATGAGATGCCCCTAGTACCTTTTTCATAGGCTCTTTTTAGTTTGGGCAAGGACTCAGGGGCCCCATGATCCCCTATTGCCCGGGGGCCCCATGAGTTGTCAGTCCGCCCCTGGTTTGGACTGTGCTTCCTGCAGAGTAGGGGTATTAATTATGTCTGCACTTTGACATGCCCATAGACATTGGGTTTGATTTACTAGAGGCAGATAGGCTGTTCACTTTGTAAGGGAATTCTACTGACTTTCACCATCTAATCATGTGTTAGCAAAAATACTTTTTTCTTTCCTTGCCTGTGATTGGGCATTCTTTCCAAAGTGCATTTTCATTGCATCAACTTACCTAGAGGAAAATTCTCTTGCAAAGTGAACGGCCTTTTTGCCTGTAGTATATCACCCCTACTACATGAAAAGAATGCTCATCTACCACTTTCTTTGCAAATAACTGGCATGCTTATGGTCTGGAGATGAAAATGGCTATATATCCAGTTATTTAAGTGTAATACAGAAGACACCATCCTTTTGTGGAGTGCATCTGTATTTCTGTGTGGCTCTCAAATGACTGATTCTATAGCCTCTAAATGATCAGTACCTTCCTATTACATTTGGCCATTACCACGGGTGGCCTACTTTGCGGCTGATTGGCCTGTGAGTTGTCAAGAAAGAAAAGTCTCTGCCAGCCAGGTCTACAAGTGCATAGTCAAGTTTGCTATTTTTCTCTTAAGACTGACCGAAAGCAATAGGCTCTATGGGTCTGATTCTTCTAAGTGTGATATGAGGTGGAATTCAGTGAACAAATCTGTGCTCACTTTAGACATCCAATCAAAGGCAAGGGAACTCAATTTGTTTTAAATTTCCCTGCACATGATTGAATGTTTGTATGCAATTCCCACTCAGTAACTCAGATCCTCTGTAGCTAACCACATGGATCTCAGCAGCTGTTCAGCCGGAAGACTGACTACACCTCCTGATTTACAGAAGCCCCTAGAGGAAGAATTTTACATATACATATATATATATATATAATATATATATATATATTGCATTATTGGAATTAACCAACCACAAGCATGTAAAATGTCACATCAAAATGTTGGAATAGTAAATAAATAGCAGATATGTATTCACTAAAATATGCTATAGGTTTACTTTCTTAAGTCGACAAGGCAGTAATATTTAGCAACCAAATTAAAGTTCACTTTCAAGAAGTCATTTCAATATGAATGTGACTTTGAATGATTGCTAGAGGTTATTGCACATTGCACATTAGCCCACCAAGATTTGAACATCACCTAAGCAACTTTCAGTCTACTACTGGCGATAGATAAGTATAACTCTCAAATTTGTTATTCATCACTTTAAAACTTGACACCTTTATAAATGTTTAATAAAATCAGCAGGGGTTTCATTCATTATTTAATTGAGAAAATACTCATTCCAACAAAGCTAGCAGACCTGTGTGTCATTTGCCTTCAGCAAAACCCCTGTATGGTCATGCCTATCTGGAAATCTGAACATTCACAGAGTTTAATTTGTTGTAATAATGGTTAGATGATACATTCTACAACTGGTTTAAAGAACTTGGCAACAATTACAGGGCATTTTCAGAAGTTACAGTATGAAAAATATAGTTAGCATAAAATATAACAAAAGAAATGTAAAATAAATATAAATACTATAGCAATAAATCTTTTTAAGACTAGCAAGGAATTTAACAGAGTTCTAAGAATTTCTCTAGTTTGTGTTAGGTACACTTGACCCTGACATATATCTCTTTCAACATCAAACAGTTCCCAGTCTGCAAGTAATAGTGATGCTGCCAGCACAAACGCTACTGTACCTACTTTAAAAGACACACATCACAAAAAAATGCAGGGTCATTATGTAAACATAAAAGAAATTAAGATGATCTTAAGCAATGAATGATCCATATTTCAGGCTCTAGATCTTCAGTTGTCTATATGGGAATACAGGATGCAGTTGCAGTAGACAAGAGTACACAAACTGACACCAAACACAAGCTTTGAACCTACCTGTGCAGATCTTACATGACAGGATACACAAGAACAGATAGACAAAGCAGCAGTTGCAGTGCAGTCCCATCCCTTTTCCTTGCCCCATCCACTTAATGGTCTAAACACATGGAGCAGACGCTGAAAATGCCTTAAATCTGCCAATGTGTGTTGCTTGCTTTCCCTAGTTTTTTTTCCAGCAAAGTTAGTGAATCACTGCCCAGGGAACAACTTTGCTTTTTTTTTTTTTTTTCCACCGTCGCCTGTGTGGATTTATTGAAGGGGGGCAAAAAAAGGGAAAATTATGACTTTGGGATCAAATATTGCTTCAGCAGTGAAAGACTGTTTTTTAAGTGTTATTGGTGCAAATAAGATCCCTTTATGAGTACAATCAAGCATGAGCTTCTTACTAAAAGGAGCCCACTGGATTGGGAGGCAGATGAAAGTCAAAGAGTTTCTGTGCAGGAAGGGAGAAATATAAAGCAGCTGCAAAGCAGACAAAAGAGGGAAAGAGATCAGATCTCCCTTGCACTCACACACATGCACATGCTGTTCTGAATACTGCACACATTATCTCTGCCTCACACAGCTATAAGAGCAGCAGGAGGGGAGGAGAAGAAGTAGGGAGAGAGCTGTAACTAACTAGGTGGCTATACAAGCGTAGACATTCACAGAGGAGGGGGGGCTCTCCTTTGCCAATGAAAGCTGATTGGCTGCTAGCTATGAATTATTTGCATAAACTGCACGTGAAAGAGAAGCAGGTAAGGGGAACTGGCATGCTTGATGCATGTAACTCTACAAGTCTACCATACAATAGTAAAAGATTATTCAATACTACAATATTTACTTGATGTTTTCTTGAGTATCTCATCTAAAATGTTACATCAGCTGGAGGTCTCCAATAATAGATGTTCATATTTAAGTTGATGAATCCTATCTAGAAGATGGGTGCAGAAAATACAAATTTGATTAGGCACATGTACATTTTAAGGCACTATAATTGCTTGAGCTGTTTGTATGAAGAATTCAAAGTATGGATATTTTATTAAAAGTTACATTGGTCTGGCTTGAACCAATGTAACCATGTATATACCATACCTGACCAATGCTCCTATAAGCTGGAAATTATTATTATACAGTATTTATATGGCGCCAAAGGGTTTGCTCAGCGCTGTACAATATTAGGGGGACAGAACAAGAGACAAGACAGTGACAATTCAATACACAAGGGGTTCGAGGGCCCTGCTCTTTCGAGCTTGCAATCTAGGAGATCACTGGAGTAGACAACCCTACTTCAGCTATGTTCACTTGCTTCCAGGTTCTGTGCTGAGCGGCTGGCCTGATGCATTGGGAACACAAGGTTGGACACTCAGCATTCAAAGGATGCTTTGCATTTTCTGAATGAATGCAAAGCATTCCCTGATTGGATGAGGTGGAAAGACGGGGCTGTGATGTCACACTGTTCACCTCATCCAACCAGAGAATGCTTTGCACTCATTCAGAAAATGTAAAGCACCTAAATGGCACCCCTGTCAAATGGCTGACCTCC